ATTATCTGAAGATTTCCACCTTTATTGGGTTTCCTCTCTTTGGAATGGACACAAATATGGATCTCTTCTAGTTAGTTGGCCAGATAGTTGTCCTTCAGATTTCTTGGCACATGTAAGTAAATGCCTCCAGTGCTGAATCAGTTTGTTGAAAGATTTCAATTTGTATTCCATATATTCCTGCTGCCTTGTTCTTTGCCAGTGACTTCAGTGTACCTTGGACATCTTCCGTCACGATTATCGGCTCTTGATCATGTGCTCCATGCAGTCTTTGATTTTCACAAATATTTCAAGTCCTCTTCCTTGCGTATCACAAGTTGCTCATCAGTCTTCCTCCAGTCCTGATGCCACATTCTTCTTCATATAATCCAGTTTTTCTTGGATTATTTGCTCAGCATACAGACTGAATAAGTATGGTAAAGAGATACAAACCTGGAGCATACCTTTCCTGACTTTAAACCATTCAGTATCTCCTTGTTCTGTTCTTCCTTCAGTACCATTGGCTCTTGGTCATATGCTACTTCTTAAAATGGTTAAACATTGACCTCCTTCCATCTTCTTTTGATGCTTCCTTTATTGTTCAGTATTTTGCCATAGCATTTTTCAGTACCATAAGTCGAGGTTTGAATTTTTTCTTGAGTTAACTCAGCTTGAGAAATGTTGAGCATGTTCTTCCCTTTTGAGCTCCCTCCAGGTCTTTGCATGTTTTGTTATATTTGACTCTGTCTTCTCAAACTGACCTTTGAAATTTTCTGTTCAGCTCTTGTACCTCCTTCTTCCATTTGCTTTAGAATGTCTACACTAGAAAGCAAGTTTCAGTGTCTTTTCTGACATCCATTTTGGTCTTTTCTTTCTTTCTTGTCTTCTTAATGGCCTTTTGCTTTCTTCCTATATGATGTTATTGGTATCATCCCATAACTCTTCTGGTCTTCAATCTTCAGTGTCTAATGCATCAAATCTGTTCTAAATTCAGGTGACATATATTCAAGGTCATATTTTTGCTCTTGTGGACTTGTTTTCATTTTCTTCAGCTTCACCCTGAATTTGTATATGAACAATTGATGGTCTGTTCCACATTTTGCCCCTGCCCTTGTTTTGGCTGATGATATGGAGCTTTTCTCCTCTCTCTTTCCACAGATGTAGTCTGTTTGATTTCTGTGTATTCCATCTGGTGAGGTCCATGTGTATAGTCATCTTTTATGTTCTTTGAAAAAGGTATCTTCAACGAAGAAGTCATTGGTCTTGCAAAGCTTTTTTCATGTGATCTCTAACATTGTTTCTATCACCAAGGCCATATTTTCCAACCACTGATCCTTCCTCTTTGTTTCCAACCTTTGCATTCCAATCACCAGTAATTATCAATACATCTTGATTGCATGTTTGATCAATTTTAAAATGAAGACATTGATAGAATTCTTCAATTTCATCATCACTGGCTTTAGTAGTTGGTGCATAAATTTCAATAATAGTGCTATTAACTGTTCTTCCTTTAGGCATATGGATATTTTCCTATCACAGATAGCGTTGTATTTCATGACTGATCTTGATATGTTCTTTATGATGATTCATGGCGACCAAACCAACGAACCCGTCCAAGTAGGAAAAGCATATATGAGGAACTAAATGCTGCCAGTCAAGGAAGGGAGGAAGTAGTGGAACAGTAACTTGAAAAAGAGCATATTGATATGGGAGTTCTCTCCCATGATCCATGATACAGGATTTCAAATTTCTGGCAAGGACCTTGACAGCTGATGGAAGAATGTTCCTGAGAGCACTGAGAAAGTGATGAGTCACACTAAATAGAAATGTTGATATGAGGAGTCAAGACTCAGTGGGACTCCCACTTGTAGTCAACAAGGAGCACATTATTCCAGACTAGCTGTCCTTGTGTAAACAACTGTAACACTGAACAAAGTATATGAGAACTCCTTTCAAACACATGATACAAGGCAGCACAAACCTGCAGTTCTTGATGGAAAGGAAAACTCATGAGAAGCTTCTTGGTTTGGTCCTGCAGATCGTGCAGAGTATCACCTCTGATAGTCACACCTTGCCTGAAGCTGGTGCTGAACCACCCTCATGCTGTCATTGCCTTTTCCTAATTCCTCAAGAGCCATCTAGTTTCATTATTCAATTGTGTTTATTTCTCAATGCCTGTGATGTTACCATAGTCTGTGAGTGGTACAAACTGTTAAAGTTTTCTGCTGTAGAAAGAGGAATTTCAAGTATACCAAAGGCACCTCCGAAGAAAGGCCTGGTAACCTTCTTCCAAAAATTCAGCAGTTAAAATCGCTATGGAGCACAGTTCTACTCTGACAACACATAGGGTCGCCATGGGTCAGAATGGACTTGGCAGCAACTGATGGTTAAGATATTACCAGCTGGTTAATGATCCAACTTCAGAATCCCTTTTTAAAGAATGATCTTTCCCAGACTACTGTGGCCCCAACTACCTTAGGTTGCATTCCCTTGAAACTGACTCCAGTAGGGGGATTGATTTGCAAATGGGAAGTTTGTTTTTAGCAGCAACATCTTTTTTTTTTTTTCAGTTACACTACAACTTTATCATAACTATCTCTAAGCACACAGAATAACAAGTTACTAAGGGAA